TTTCTCTCTCTCTCTCTCTCTCTCTCTCTCTCTGTCTCTTTCTCTCTGTCTCTTTCTTTCTTTTCTTTCTTTCTTCTTTCTTGATGGAGCCTTGGTCTCTCGCCCAGGCTGGAGTGCAGTGGGGCCATCTTGGCTCACTGCAAACTCCACCTCCTGGGTTCAAGCGATTCTCCTGCCTAAGCCTCCTGAGTAGCTGGGACTACAGGTGCATGTCACCACGCGCACCTAATTTTTTGTAGAGATGGGGTTTCACCATATTAGTCAGAATGATCTTGATCTCCTGACCTCAAGATCTGCCCACCTTGGCCTCCCAAAGTGCTGGGATTACAGGTGTGAGCCACCGCACCCAGCTCAGTATCACCTTTCTTGTAGATTCACATGTGAAGGAACAACTCCATATTTTCTAAAAGGCCTAGAGAACATATATCAGGTGCCTCTCCCCTTCCCTTTTGTGTGTCACCATTATGGTGAAATATGGGAAGACGGTGGTTCACAGTAGCCTTTTAATCAAGACTAGCCATCATCATCATCATCATCAACATCTATGTTGGTATTGTTCAACAAGGTAAGTCTTCAGATAATTACATATTTTGATCATTAATTTTAACACTACATTCTTAAGCTTTAAAAAATTAGCTTCTTTGTGCCATTTCTTTGTCACCTCTGAAATGGAGATGTGCCTTTCTATTTAGGGACTTATTTATCTTAAAAGGAGCTGTGAGCAGTAACTGATGTTTGCAAACTCTTTTGAAGATGAACAGTATTAAATGCTATATAATCACTGCTGTTTTTAATTTCCACCAAAGGTTAGGCATCATAAAAAGGGAAAGCACCATAAATTGATCCATCTACAAATTGGCTGTAATGATTGGTTTCCTACTGCACATGCTTTCTTTTTATGGCCATTCTCTTGGATCACCTTATGGTATTTCTTGGTCCAAATAAGTGTTTAAGGTCATGGCTTACAAAGATGTCATCGGTAAGATTTGCAACAAATAATGACACATCAAGAATAAATGATTTATAAATGGAAGGAAATTATAGCATATCATCAAAGCCAGGGAGTTTTAGGTAGAGACTTGTTTTTAATTTTACTGCATTGCTTAGCTTACCAGATTTCTCAAGAATCTCCAGGAATGAAAGGACATCTGTCAAGCTTGATCAATCAAGGCCAATTGACTGGCTTTCTTTTCCAATGTTCTTCAAAGCCATTGTAGTAAAAATATTTTTTAAAATTTAATATCACCTATAATTTCATCATACTTTTTAATATTTTAAAATTCACCCAACATCTACTGAGTACCTATTAGCAGAGAAAAGCCTCATTCCCAATGCTACACTCTTATTCTCATGGAGCTTACACTCTGCTGTCAAAGAGAAACATGGAAAAAAATTATCAGACCTTGGGCAGTGAAAAAAGTGCTATAAAAACTGTGGTTTCAAAATGCTGGGAACTATGTGGAAGAACCATTAATTTTAACAGAAAGAATCCAAAAAGGCTTTCAAGTAAAAGGTTATGTTCAAGCCAGGCATTACAGGTGAAGAATTTTGAGGCAAAACGTTGTCTAGTAGTACGTTAGGTCGTGAAAACAATGTAAATAAAGGTGAAAAGATGTTGATAGTAGGTGGTATGTCTGACGAGCAACAAGCAGTGCCCAGTGCCTAAGAGCAGGGGACTCCTGGATTACTGTGGGAGAGTGGAAGGTAGAAAAGACTGGAAGCAGATCACAGAGAGACCTGAAATCATATTATGGAGTTGAGCTTATTCAGTAGATGGTGGGAAGCTAGTGGACATTTAGGGGGCGAGGAGGAACTTTGACCCACGTTTATGGAAGATAACTTTACTAGGAAAGGTCAGGGAGATGAGAGGTTCTAGGCAAGGAAACTAATTATAATAACTAAGAACTCTAAGTTACTAAGATGCCAGGCATCACTATGTTAATTATAATTATTATATTAATTAATATTATCATATATTAATATATTAAATTAAAGCTGGATGTGGTGGCTTACACCTGTAATCCCAGTGACTTGGAAGCTGAGGCAGGGGGAACATTTAAGGTCATGAGATTGAGACCAGCCTGGGTGATGTAGGCAGACCCTGTTTCCAAAAAAATTTTAAAAATTATCTGGGCATAGTGGCTTGTGCCTGTAGTCCTAGCTCCTTGGGAGGCTGAGGCAGGATGATCATTTTGAGCCCAGGAGGTTGAGACTGCAGTGAGCTATGATCATGCTACTGCATTCTAGCCTGGCAACAGAGCAATGTTCTGTCTTTTAACAATTTGTATAATAAAATTATATAGGTGTTTTGTATAATTTATTTACTTAATTTTCAGAAGTTCCCTGGAGTGTAGGTAATATATTTATTTTACAGTCATAAGTCCTCAAGGTAATGGAGGTCTTAGGTAGTGGAGTCCAGTGGTATGGAATTGGAAATGAGGTGATAGAAAAAACTATCTGAATGTAGAATTGCTACTACTCAGAGTGACTGAATGTGGGAGGTCAGAGAGGGAGAAATTGAAGATGACGCCAATCTGGGTACCATTCAACAAGAAAGGGAGCATAGTCAGATAAATTTGAGATTAGTGAATAAGGAATTCTGCTTTAAAAGGTTGGATTTGCAATGTTGGTAAGACCACGCAGGTGGAAATGTGGAACTGGTTGTCAGGAATGTAAGTGTGCGATTAACATGAGGTCAAGTGTGCAGGTCTGGGCTAGGAGTAATCAGAACCTCTGTGTGAAGGGAAGGGGAAGCCATAGGACAGGGTATAGAACAAGGAGAAGCCAAAGAGAGAGAGGGAGAGTGTCCATCTGGGGTTGGGGAGGGCAGCTGGAGAAGGAAGAATCAGGAAGTTGGGGGAAACTGCAATGTGGAAGAATTGTGAACAAACAACCCAGGAATGGAGAGAGCTTCTGAAATAATAGGTGGTAAATAGGGTCATTTATTGCACACCAGAGAGGGAGTCAGTGCGGAGAGAAAGAATTGCTTTATTTGGTAAGTAGAATTTCATGGGTAATTTTTGAAAAAACATTTCAGTGGAGTGAAATGATCAGGAATTGAATGTCAGGGGTTTAGGAATGAGGGGATGGTAAAGAAATCTTGTGGACTGCAAGAGATCAAGGGGGCTTTTTATTAGGATAAGGGGAGCCCTAAAGAAGCTAAGGGAAAAGGGCAGTAGAGAGAGATTAAGAAAAAAACGAGTGGAAGATAGTTTGTTGGCTGTAGTACCAAAGCAAAATAGAAAGATGACCAGAACACAGAGAGGCTGGCAAAGGAAAGGGTTAAGAATTTCTTTTTAATGATGGAAGATAACAAGAAATGAAATGTGGATGGACACACTAAGAAAAAGTGAAATCTAATGGTGAGAAGTTGAGGAAAATTTTTTCTTTTCTTTCTTTTTTTTTTTTTTGAGAAAATTATTTTCCGAGAGTCTATTCTCACCGAAGCCTTACAGTCCATCTGCAATAAGTTTTACATTCTCAAAGAGCCTTGCACTTTTCCTTCAAAACATTCATCATACTTTTAATTAGTTGTTCAGTATCTGGTTTCAGCACTAGATTGCAATCTACTCTTCCAAGAGGGTGGCCATGGCTGTCTGCTGAACCTCCAGCACATGGAAAGAACTGCACGTCTGGCACACAGGAAATGCTCAAAAGAGATTTGATGTATAAGCGCTTTACAGAGTTGTAGATTCTCTTTGTCTCTCTCTGTCTCTCTTTCTCTGCAGTGCTGGAAAATGCCCGAGATACAATAGGCTTGACAAATACTGCTAAATGAATGAATATTCTCAGTGAAATGGGAAGTAGTCTCATCTACTGGGATGATAATAACTACATTTTGAGTTCTCACAGTGTGCTAGGCACTCTGTTAAGTACTTAGATGCTAGATGTTGTAACAAGTAACCACAGTATTTTAGTGGTTCACATAATAAAAGTTTATTTCTTACTCACTGACATCATGAAAGCACTGCTCCTGATTTCTAGGCAGCTCTTGTTTCAGAGATGTAGACTCCTTATTCCAGCTGTACCATCTCTTGTTCCCTTACCTGCAAATGGGGGAAGAGGATGAGAATGAGGCTAGGTTCCACACAGGCTAGGAAGCCACTTTCTAGGGATGGCTCTGTATTACAGAAATAAGAACATGAATTGGTGGACACTTAGCCATCACTTTCACGTATGAGTTATTTACTATTTACAATACCTCTGTAAAGGAGGTCCTGTTATTACCCTCATTTTACAGATAAATCTACCAAGGCTTAGACCTGTCCAAAAATAATAAGGTTCAGATTTGAGACTTAAAGTCAGGTTCAGGTCCATCTGACTCAGTACCTTCTGTTCTTACCTGCTAGACCTGTGGTTCTCAAGTGGTGATGATTTTGCCCCCATGGAACATTTAGCAGTGCCTGTAGACACTTTTCAACGTTGGAGGAGGGGTACTGACTTCTAGTGGGTAGAGGCCAGGGATGCTACTAAATATTCTACAATGCATAAGACACTTCATCCTCCAACCACAAGCTGATCCCAACAAAAACGTATCCAGATTAAAATGTCAATAGTGCCAAGATCAAAAAACTCTGGACTCTGTACACCACCATGATGGAGGAGAGTGGAGGCAAAACGTGATTGAAAAGATTAAGAACAACTGCTGTGAGGGATGAGCTAAGTGTTACTTATGAAAAGATATAAAGGATTGGCAAAGAGCAGAGAGGTGCTGGTGGTTGTTGAATAGGGAAGAAGGTAAGTGGTCCTATTTTCTATCAGCTAACCTGGTATTTCTGGGAATTGTTAGTATTTTTAAAGAAGTAAATGATTCATACTTTACAGGGTGAATATATTATTTTTGAATTCATTTTATTTCTGAACTCAGGGAGACAAGAGTCGTCCTTTTATTACATCCAGTCCTACAAATGGGGCTGAAACTGTTGCAGAAGGCTGGGTCTCTCAGAACCCTTATAGCAATTATTTTGGTGATGTACATTTTTATGACTATATCAGTGATTGCTGGAACTGGAAAGTTTTCCCAAAAGCTCGATTTGCATCTGAATATGGGTATCAGTCCTGGCCATCCTTCAGTACATTAGAAAAGGTAAGTCATTGTTTGATGTTTTAATGTTTCAGAATGGTAGGCTGTGGGGATGTGGGCATGTGTTCTTTCTGATCACTGGTTCAGAAAATCACATGAAACCTACATCTTATTTAAATGAAGGTTTGAGAAGAAGATGGAGGAAAATAAATTTTTTAAACCTTTGGGGATTACTTTTCTATACTGCTTTTACTGTGTTCCTTCAGGAGCACTGAAAGTGCTAAATGGGAGCCCATGGTTGCTTAAGCATGACTTATTATTACACATGGAAATAACTCTTACTTGCTACAATAAGTCTTACTTGTAAATCCTTTCCTGCAACTGTTTTACCATTTACAGATATATAGAACTGGATATTTCACTACAGTAAGAGGGACAATTGTGATTTAAAAAACCCTTTGTCTAATATTATCTTCTTACCTTTTCTCTCCTTCTCCTCCTCTTCCATTCCCTCATCCCTTTCCTCCTTCTTTTTCATCCTGTTGTTGTGTTTTATTTTCTGTATGGATTTTCACTTTCTCCATTCCTAATGATTCAGTTTCAGCATTGTGTGTGTTCTTCTTAAAATAGCTTTATTGAGATATAGTTCACTTGCCATACTATGCACCCATTTAATGTGTACAATTTAATAGTCTTCAGTATATTCACAGAGATGGGTAGCCAGCACCACAATCTAATTTTAGAACATTTTTATCACTCAAAAGAAACCCCGAACCCATTAGCAGCCACTGTCTATTTTTCTCTATCCCTCCTCCCCAGTCTCAGGCACTACTAATCTACTTTCTGTGTCTGTAGTTTTCCCTGTTCTTCATATTTCATGTAATTGGAATAATATGATATGTGGTCTTTTGAGGCTGATTCTATGACTAATTGTGTTTTCACGGTTCATCCATGTTGACCATATATTAGTATGTTCCTTTTTTTTTTTATTGCTGAATAACATTCTGTTGCATGAATATACTACATTTGGTTTATCTATTTATCAGTTGATGGACATTTGTGTTATTTTCACTGTCTGGCTATTATGAATAATGCTGCTGGGAACATTTGTGTGCATGTTTTCATATGAATATATGTTTTCAATTCTACTGAATATATATCTAGGAGTGGAATTGCTGGATTTTTGGTAGTTCTATCTTTAACATTCTAAGGAGCTGTCAAACTGTTTTCTGCAGTGACTGTACCATTTTGCATTTCTACCAGCAAGGTATTAGGGTTCCAATTTCTCTACATCCTTGACATTTTTTTCTTCACATTTCCCTGGGAATTTACATTTACAGGAAATTTGCATATCCTTGATGGCTAATTGTGTTGACCATGTTTTTCATGCGCTTACTGGCCATTTGTATATCTTCCTTTGAGAAATGTCTGTTCAAATGCTTTAGCCATTTATTTATTTATTTATTTAAATAGAGACAGGGTCTTGCTTTGTAGCCCAGGCTGGTGTGCAGTGGAGTGATCATGGCTCACTGCAGACTCAACCTCCCAGCCTTAAGCAATCCTCCTGCCTCAGCCCCGAAAGAAGCTGGGACTACAAGCATGCACCACCACACCCAGCTAATTTTTGTATTTTTTGTACAGATGGGGTTTCATCAAATCATAAAGTCTGGTCTGAAACTCCTGAGCTCAAGTGATCTGCCTACCTCGGCCTTCCAACCTGCTGGGCTTACAGGAGTGAGCCACTATGCATGGCCTGGTCATTTTTAAATTATTTGTCTTTATTTTATTGAGTTGTGAAATTTTTAAAAATATATTCTGGCTATAAGATTTCACCATTCTTTAATTTGGCAATAATTACCCACTTCACTTTGAGGGAGACCCAGGAGGAAATCACGGTACTGTAAGAGGACACAGATAGAACTCCCACCCCCCAGTGCTTTGATTTCCTCCTGGGTCTCAGTCAAAGTGGAGTGAGTAGATTATTGGCAAATTAAAGAATGAGTATGTGGTACACAGCAATTATTCAGTAAATATTCTTGCTTCCTTCATTCCTTCCTTCCCATTCTCGACAATAAGTAGCTGGGTTCAAACTTACTCTGTCTCCAGAGCTGATAGATTTTCTTTCCATCAAGCTTTAGAAAGATTAGTATTAGAAATTGCTAAACTTTTTTCCTTAAATCTATAATAATTTCTACTGGCTCCTTCAAATAATGGAATTATTTTATCCCATGTTTTTGTGAAATGCCTGGTGATGTTCAGAGATAATAAACACTATATTTTAAAATAGAAAAAGTTGAAGATAAGTGCGGCTCATTATGATTCATTCGTTATCTCTTGATTTAATCATCTCTTTTTAAGCCACCCTGCTTAGTTGAGAATTTGAATAGGTGATTGGAAAAATAAAAGAAACCAAAAGAATAACTACATAAAACTTTGGCTCTTTTATTTACAAGCTTTTTCATGTATTCAACAAATCTGTCAAAACATATCTCTTTAATTGGGGATACATTACTTTTTCATAAAATACTCAACATGCGATTATCAATATTGCACACTGATTAAAAGTTTGAGCTTTGGAATAAACAGAACCGATTGAATATGACATCTGCCACTCACTATCTGTATCATCTTGGACAGATTATTTAATCTTTTTGAATTTCAATTTCCTCATCTGTAAATTGGGGTTAATGGTAGCAAATACCTCGTGTGTGTGTGTTTGTGTGTGTGTGTGTGTGCGTGCGTGCGCTCGGGCGCGCAGATATGCGTAAGTGTATGTGTTCATGAGTAAGATTAAGTTAACTAATACATTGAAGCACTTAGCACTGTTCCTGACACAGTGAGAGCCCATGAAATGTAAACTATTATTACTGTAGTATACTCCATTTTAACCATATGATTTGTATGAAAGTTTCATTTCAGATCCTTCTGGGTTTAATGAACTAGGTACTGGAGCTATACTGAATTAGATTTGGGTATTGAACAAGTTATTTAACCCTTCTGTGCCTGGTTTTCACATCTGTAAAATGGGGTGGTAATAGTATCTACTACTAGAGTTTGTTTTGTTTTCTGTTTTGAGAGAGGGTCTAGCTGTATCACTCAGGCTAGAGTGCAGTGGCCTGATCACAGCTCACTGCAGCCTCATACTTGTGGCCTCAAACAATCCTCCCACTTTAGCCTCCAAGTAGCTGGGACTACACGCATCTGCCACCACACTGGGCTAATTTTTAATTTTTATTTTTGTAGAGATGGGGTCTCACTATTTTGTCCAGGCTGGTCTTGAACTCCTGGGCTTAAGCAATCCTCCCACCTTGTGGATTACAGGTGTGAACCACTGCATCTGGCCAGGTTTTTATGAGTATTAAATAAGCTAATATTCTTTTTTTTAAGTTAATATTTTTTTTCCCTTTTTTTTTCCCATTTATTTATTTTATGGCATTTTAGGTTTTGGGGTACATGTGAAGAACATGCAAAATTGTTGCATAGGAACACACGTGGCAGTGTGATTTGCTGCCTTCCTCCCCATCACCTACATCTGGCATTTCTCCACTTGCTATCTCTCCCCAGCTCCCCACCCCCCACTGTCCCTCCCCTATTTTCCCCCAACTGACCCCAGTGTGTCGTGCTCCCCTCCCTGTGTCCATGTGTTCTCATTGTTCAACACCCGCCTATGAGTGAGAACATGCGGTGTTTGATCTTCTGCTCTTCTGGCAGTTTGCTGAGAATGATGGTTTCCAGGTTCATCCATGTCCCTACAAAGGACCCAATCTCATCGTTTTTGATGGCTGCATAATATTCCATGGTGTATATGCGCCACATTTTCC